CATAGAGAAAGCTTGAGTTGGAATCGCCGTATAAAGGAATTACTAGCAATTATCCTGTCAGGATACCTGTGTAGAGTGACCAGAATCTAAGTTTACACTGATTGCAAGAACATATATAAAACAAAATCTTAGGATATTATCGTTTATCTACGAAATAGCAGCATTCTAATTTTTCTAATAATGGGTCCCTTTACTTTTGCTTTACGGACAGTGCATTCTTTTAAGCACTTTACTTTGTGGCCGAATGACAAAAACTCTTGTTTCTGTAGGTATTTTCGAGGATCTTTTAACAGAAATGGACAATACACATAAAAGACTGCGATTGCCTCACTTTTTCATTTTATTTTGCCATTCATTGATTACCAGAATACTAATGGATGGTAAACAAAGTCGAAATTTCCAGCGTAACCATGACTTTGAGAAATCAACTTTGGAGCTAAAGTTTAAACTTTTCCAATTTTGGATAATGTGGAATTCAATTTTTTCTTTCAACGCATATTGAGTCAGCAATGTATAAGTTAAAAAGTAAACGCAGTAAGTTATTCTACACAAAATAATCAGGAAACCATAATGCATATTCACACAGTAAAAGAATGTGCGAAAAATTTGTACAGTGTTGATAGCATTTTAAAGTTTACTGTATCAGACTATTTGCCTTAATAAGCTTCATTAATTTCATATAATAAAAAGAGGAAAATTACGTCATATAATATACCGGAAGGGTTCTTCAGACTGCATATGTTGGTAAAACTGGCTCTTGGCCTTCTCCCAAATCGTCCGACCGTAAGCGTAAGCGGGTCTATATTGATTGCTTATCGATCGTCCTCCCTTGCAGAGCTGCAGCATATGCCTGTAGCTCAATCTTTCCAGTGGTGTTTCAGACACAAAGACCCTAACATTCTGAAGCCTATTTTCTCGAGTCAAGTGATGGAGCCGGAGGTGAACCCAGCCATTCCCAATACCCAAAACACGTCACAGGAGATTTCTGTAAAAGTGGATCCTGCCCCCACTGAACTGGCCGACATTGTTGCGTGTTCAAGTGAAGTGAGCCATAACGTTGAAATTTTTAATGCCATCCGAGAGGTGATTTCTTGCTGCGCCTGTCTTTCTAGTCAGACAGAAATGAAGGAGTGCACAAACGGCCACCTAATCTGTCAGTCATGTTTCCTCACTTTGCGTCAAGATGAGACTCCCCAATGCCCTACATGCCGGGCCAATCTATACTCGGACTCTAGACGCGCGTTGGTCGCTCAAAAGGTGCTCTCCGAGCTGCCCACCTTCTGCCCAAACTGTGGCATGCGGATGCTCTACAAGTCGCTGTCCAGCCACCGGTTGCACTTCTGCCCGAAACGACAAGTCATTTGTGCCCTCACCTGCCTCGGCTGCACTTGGTCCGGTAGTGCTGACAGCTTTCCTGACCACAAAAGAAGCTGCTCCATCAAGGCCAGTCTCTTGAACCGGCCGCAAGAGGAGAATCTGACCGCCATGCTAACCGGTTTTCGTCAGCGTGATCATTCACTGGACACTCTGTTCCACTGCTTCACCAGCATATTCCGCCACTTCGAGGGGCATGAACTGCAAACCCTCAGCGTTTTGTTGTCCTGCATTCGGACTAGCGGGAATACCCTGATTTTTCGCAGCGACCACTTTCACGCCAACCATTCCAAGTGGTCACTTGAGGTACGTCTGGTGCTCGCCGGACCACGGCCGGCCAGCTCCGGCTCCAACTGGCTGTCGAGTGGGCCACAGGCGAAACGAGCTCGCATGGGCGAATCCTCCAGAGGCCAGGGCCACTTGGCTGCTGGACAGGAGCAAAACAACAGTCGGCTCTCTGATGACGATTTGGCGGTGGACGCGGCAACGGTTACCAGGCAATCGCTGCACGAACTGTTTTCCGATGTACATGAGGCAGATGCTTCATCGGAGCAGGCGTCTGAACCGGGACCGGATGAGGAGACCTACCGTGATCGGCGTGACACCTTCAGCCTCCCGTTGACCAGCAGCTCGTCACCACGGCGAAGAAGCAGAGCGGTCGGCTACTCCAACTTTGGTGATATTCGAGTCCAACGTCAAAGACAGTCACAATTAGTTCAGCATCCACAGCAGCATCTGCTGTTTCTGGGACCTGCTGGGCGAACAGAATTCATTGACTCATCAGCCTCAGTGGACGTGATGACTGGAGGCAACCAGATGGTGCCTGAGATGATATCACGTCTGGAGCAACGCGATGACGGTGGAATGCTTAACGTAACGAGCAGAGCGGCCGTGGCAGAGGTAATTATGCATTGTTGTTTCGTAATAAAATAATTTTGTGCCACATGCTTTTAATTCGAAAATGTTATTGTCGTCATAGCCACTTACTCAAAAATGTGAAAGCTCGAGTTTCTTATATATATATATTGTTGTTGATAAAACCAGCTGGTCTATATACTATTTTGTAACTTTTATTTCAATGCTAAAATGTTTATCCCAGCTGATGGCTCCGACCCTGGTGATGCAGAGATAACAGCGCCAATCAGTTATCCTACAAGAATATTGATTGAGTTCCCAAGCTGATGACTTGTACTCTATGTGAATAAATACTAAAATTAAATGTGCTAGACTCTCAAGATACAAATGAGCCCTTCTACTATAAAAGTTACTCATTGTAATAGCTGATACCATTTTGAAGTCTAAACAACTAAAGTAATAAAATATATAAAAATTTATATGAATTAATACAAGATTAGTACTATAGTCTATTGGAATTTCATTAGCATTCTGAATAAAAGTATGATGTCCATGCATGTTGAGTAAAGAGAAGGCTTTAGGAAAGGATGCATTTTTGATGAGTAAATAAGCAAGAGGATAAATTTATTCAGTATATTTTATTCTAGTTTTTGCTACTATTTTTCTTCAGAAGGATTAGTAAATTGCTTATACCGATTTTATTGAACAGCCAGTCTTAGTGATCGTGATTATGTTCAATTTGAGTCGTCATTATGATGGAGTGGAGCACAAATAAAATTTTTTTACTAGTATAGTATCCATTCTTCTAACCCTTTGGAGTTAAGGATGAATATTTCACTACAGAAATGTATGTCTAGGGGGGAAATTTTATTCATCGAAGTACAATCCCTTGAATAGATTTGTCAAATTTAGGCATAAGGTAAATGGATATAGACCTATGATGCCATAGTGGAGTTAGAGGATCAACAAAGGTATTTTATTGTCATATTACCATATTGCTGTTGTTAGATTTAAAAATACTATGATTGACCGGCCTTGAAAGTTTTTTGCTGCATATATACCAACCTACTGGCTTTATAACCTAATTTCATTAAAACTACTTCACTTTATTTAGGATAGGCGTCAAGTTTTAATTTGACGACCAGCTAATAGATAAAAGTCAATCGAAAGGTTTTGTGAAAAATGTATATATTAAAAATGTATCTTATAAAATCTTGTTTTTCCAAAATCATTTACTGCAGCATTTAGTAGGAAATGAATTAAACTAATTGTTTTGTTGGAGAAAACTGCAATACTATTTAGGAAACCGTAATGGTCACAGAGGTTAAATTGGGGTTTAAAATCTTTCAGTCTATTTCAAAAGATTAATTAGTTGTTTGGACTTAATTTAGAACATGTTTCCTAGTTACCTTCTCTCATATCTCTGTATAGATATGATACAACCTGGTGAAATTATTCCGTTTACTGTTGTAAAGCTATATTGGCGGCTATAATTATCATTTTTTTAAGCGCAAAAACTTTGAAATTGTGGCATTTAATGTCGTTAAATTTTGATTTCCTAACATTTCTGACATCAACCTATATTGGATTTTATGATAAAATATTTGGAATTTGCTCAGCGGGCAATGAAGGAATTCACATCTGCTTTGTTGACATTGCATGTGGATAGCACTTAATCAAACTTTTGTGAAACTAACTCGTTTAGTTCAATCACTATAAAATACTAGCATGGAAGCAAAATTATGAGAATATTATTAATTTAAATCTCAGCTATTATTTTGGCGGAGGGAAACATAATCATCGCTTCCTATTCACCCCGCGTTCGTAATTCTAAAAAGGGGCTCACGAATATAAAGTAGGATACTACGAACACATAACATCATATACATATATACATATATATATATATATATAGCCGTATATAGAACGTGCTCTTTTCTTGTTGATGGCCTAGCACAACTTCGT